TTTTTTTTTTTTTTTTACACCAACTGTGTGCCCAGCATTCCCTCTTAAAGAGACAGTGGACGGACCATGGTACATTGAGGTTGACTGGAAGAGTCTCTGGATCTCACATAAAATTTCCTTTCATTTAAAAACAGATTGATTATAAGGCTTTGCTTTAGAGAAAGACTGGTTGCAAGAAATACCAGGCATTTCAAGAGGTCACAGAGCACATGCAACAGGGTGTTTATTCTCGTGGAAGGGTTACTTTCTAATCGTGACTTTTCAGAAGTCACGTATATATATGGAGGTAAGCTGGAGAATATATCAGTCACAGTCTGGATGATTTTAACACACGTGCTTTTTGGATGAAGAAACTCATTTACTTTTTCCTCCAGCGTAAGTGCAAGCATGGCTTTGCTTGTCTGACTGCAAAGTCAACTGACTCGGGGTGAATGAGCTCTACTGTAATCCCTCGTCTCTATCCATTTATCCAATTGCACATGCATACACACAAACACACATGCAAGCACAGTAATCTGTCTCAGTGAATTACAAGTGAGGAATGCAATAGCCTGCCTTTTGTATACAGGTTGCATGCGGAGCGCCGGCCTCCACAGAGCCAGTAAAAGACATCACACAGGCGCAAGAACGTTCAAAGGGATTTGTGGATATTTAAACTATATCCTGAAATACATGAGCCAAAGGGGGCGTGAAGGTGAACATGAACAAGGAAGAAAAACAGTATGTGGCTGACATTTAGCTGTTAAACTTACTCACTGTAGATACATGCATTCAAGTAGCATATGGTACGTGCTGTGTCAAGTGCAAGATGACTAAACAAGAAAGAAGCACAGACAGTGTCAGATAAATGGACTGTCACAGAGATGGACAGTGAATTGAGGCTCAAATACTCTGCTGACACTCAACTTTCCAGCACCTATCTAGCACTTGAGTGCATGCCAGATAATAAGTGAGAGGGGCTCGTTTGACGTTAAAGATACATGATGATCTTAACTATTTCTGTAACACGGTGTACCATGCCAGTGGCCATCATAATGCTCCTCTTTCTTTCTGGCCTACATGTGCTGGTCTGCTTAATGTAACCCCATCGCATGAAGTCACTGGCCTTTCTGAGTGAGGCTGCATTTGGAAAGTGGCCAAATTGAACATGATGTCATCAGTTATTGTCCGATGTCGTGTCCTTGGCCTTTTCATGAGAAGACTGCTGACAAGCTAATGTGACACTGTGAGGTTTTGTTGGTTGGTTGATTAACAAAAAGGGGCGAAGCTGACGAGTGGGAGATGTCGCCAACTGGCACCCTTAACCCTATCAGCACCAGCAGGACACCAGTGTCCCCTCCACTGTTTATGTGAAGGGTTATCATGAACCGATTCTACTGAAATACTACATGTACCACCAGTTTTTTATTGTAGGTATTATTAGCATTTCTTTTATGTATATTCTTACTTAGAACTTTTTACCTTGCACTGCTCATTCATTGCACTTAAAACTAATTGTACTTTACTGTTTTTGTGGGTGTTTTATGTGTTTTTCTTAAATTGTAATTGTTCTTATTACGTAAAACATAGCGCTGAATGCTAAAATAATGAACATAGAGAGAATGACAGTAAATTCAACCATGTACCTTGCAGCACGCAGGCCCTTACAGTAAAAAAAAAAATGCCATATTTGGTTATAACTCCTGCTTATGTGTTTTTATGGAAGTCCAATCAACATGTGTGTGTTAAAGTTTGGCTCTAACCAATTGTTCTTAATTGGGGAAGAGGCTGGACAGAGCTCACTGAATAGTTTGCTGTGTTATTAACTGGTTTTGATGCTTGAAATATTTCACATTCTAGGCTTAGACCTTTTACCCACATGAAGTCAGAAAGGTCCATTTTATTTTGCAATGCAATCAATGCAAGAAGCACAGAGGAGTGCTAAGTTTAGAAAAGCTAATCCATGTGCAGTTTAAACAAACTGAAAAAAACTCTTTTTCTCTCACTTTATGCGACCACTCATTGCCTGTTGTCTTGCGTCAAGAGTACATGTTTCCTGCAGATAACAAGGTAGGCTATCCTGCTGGGAGGCAATCCAGGCTGCCCACAAGGGCATATGTGCTACAGACCAGAAAGACTGAAATAGCCAAATTTGTTTTCAGTTCAGCCGCTTTCAACAAGCAGTCATTAAAGTCTTTCAACCCACAAAACGCCTTTGGGAGGGACATTATTATAAAAGCATATGACAGATATTGTTTGAACTATTCTAGTGTGCTCCTGTCAGAAAGACATTCAATATGCACAATTTCAAGCAAAAAAACCTTTAACAGGATTTACAAGTTGTACTATCCAAACGACTTTTCTTTTCTTTCTTGTACATATACTGTACAAGAAGTCCAATATTGGAGGATTACAGGATTTCAGGGCATCTGAAAACATGCTTTATACACACAAACTATTATTATTATTGTGGTTATAGTTTTTATCTAAAGGCTCACTTCACTGTGCTTTGACTTGTGTAGTTTGTAAGGTAGTACACTCTCCTTTCTCTGGAGTAATGGAACAACTGCTGAGCACTGTGTTCATTAAAGATAATAAGTAAATTAGGAAGTGAGACATTAGGTCTAATCCTTTTTCCAGAGGCTTTTCCATGACTAAAACGTCTTATACTGTATTAAAAACATTCTATCACACTGTAATTCACACAGTCAGTCAGCCAATCATGTAGCCAAAACATGAAAAATTACCCAATGAGTTTTTAGTGAAGAACATAGGCCTTTGCAGGTTAGTTCAGTGTTATTAACCGTTTAGATATTACAACCAGGTTGCATGACGAGTGCTCATAAACAACAAGAATGTGTGTTATTGCTTTGAGGGGATACTCTGAAGTCAACTCAGTTCACACACACAAAAAACACCCGACCTCAATACTTCAGCTCTAAAACATCCTCCTCTGTGATATTGTGAACACAATTATTTGTGAATGTTTCTCTTTTCTTTAACAGGATAAACCGACAAGTTGGTCTCCTGTAAAATTGCCCTCTCGACAACTAAACCCAACCCTATACTCAACTATGTCTGTCTGTTGCCATGACGCCCCTTTGGCAACAACAGGCTGTAATTGTGGGATGCAAATCACCTCATCAAATACTCTCCGCTATGGCCTTGATAAGAGTGGGCTGATGGTTTTTTTCTTCCTTTCTGGCGCTGAGTAGCTATGGCCCTTATCGGTGCAATATGGTCAAGAAGTTTACCACTGTTATTATCCCTGCCACTTCTTCCCTCTCCCCGGAGGTATCAAGCATTTCCACTAAAGGTCACTGGTTCAGTTTGTGCTTGTTCAAATTCAATTCTAGGATTTAATTTGCAGTCAGGCATTAGCACATACTGTGAGCCGTCCATAAACAACTAAAATATACACAGATCAGATCATTTCTAGTCAGTCTTGGTAGTCTAAGAGTTTAAGACAGCGTAATCAAAACATACTGTCATAACCCATCTCCCATTCACCTCCTGACAGATCTCTGCCGTCCTCTGTTTAATTATGGGAAAAATCCTCTCAAAATACTTTTGAGGTATTTTGTGGAAGTTGGAAGGTGTCTGAAAACCGAGTCGGCACTCAAAGTGAGCCATTGGCAGTCAGTTAAGCTGCAGTCAATCATTAGAGCTCACTTTTAAACTAAGATAATACGATCTAATCTACTCTTGGCTATACTGGTTCACTGGAGAAAGATTCTGAGGGAACCTCTAATTCTGATGCGTATTTCAGTATATATAATATTACTGTAGAATAGGCAAATGTTGAAGCTACTTTGAGTACATTTATTGCTGGGCTTTGAATATAACACGCTTATTTTTATTGTATTATAAGTATAGGGGAGCTTTATACTGCTGCAAAGCAGAGGGCTGAACAATGTGGCTGAAATCAATATCATAATGTTATTAACATGTTTCAATTGTAAAATACTGTAATCAGATAGGAGTTCAATGTAATGAGCTGTGTTCTTAATTAAACTAATTTAATTAGTTTTTAATTAGATTTTAGTCTGAATCATTACTGTAGACAGCATTATGATCATCAAGATATAATACCGCTAAATATCACAATAAATGTTTAGATTCAGTGTTCGTCCAGCCCCACACTCATTAACCATATGAAGTTTGACACAGAAAATTCAATGGCACTTACAGACGACAAAGGTTATCTTACTCTTTTAAGTCTATCTCTCTGTTGTTATCTTCCAACTCGTGTCCATAGAAGAGAATCCTCTTCCAGCCGTGCTCTGTCTTGGTCCAGCTCCATCCTGGCGACCTCCAGTCCTTGCCCAAGAAAGGCATTTTAGCTGGGGCTGAGGACTGTGAGGGAAGAGGGTCACTGCTACTGCAAACACCTGGAGGGGAAACAAGATGCAGGGTTTATTATTATTATTATTATTTATCGGACTATGGAAGCAATGGGACGTAATAAACAACTGAGTAACTCATTTAAAAATGGAGTCACAATTTGATACTTAATGTTGAAACTTTAGTCACATATTTAGGGTTCAAAAATACAGATACAATATATTCAGGTTGCTTAAATGAATTTGACAAACTTGATTCAAGTCAAGCCAAAAATCTGTTGTGATCAGGGACATTCAGACATCAAGATGAAAGAGGAACATCAGAGCTGATGAGGACTATCGATTAGATCAGACCTCTGAAAGAAAAGTTTAAAAGAGCAAATGGACACCTGGGACACATTTATTCAAATGTGTGGGCACGTTTTTGAATTTGCACCAGCTGAAATGACCTTCAAAGAGAAAAACTGCAACCTCATAAATAAATTCAGATTTTCAAAACATTTCAGATTTAAAATCCAACAATTTATTGCTAAATTAAAATTAAAATGGCGTTTCTTTGCCTCCATAGATAAAATCTGCAGCCTGCATGTTTATATCACCTTATTGTGTGTACCAAAACTGCCAAATAAACAAAAAGGGCCATTAGATTGATAAACGCTGTCCGTATAAAGCCTCATATTACCGGTAAACACGGAGAAACAAAATGGCCCAAATGAGACTATATAATTGCTTTAATAACACACCTGACAACTGACTGTGACGCATTTACCTTGAGCATTTGAAATAATAACACCATTGTAGCTGTCCAACTCGTTTTAACGTTTATATATATAAAAAAAATAAAGATGAGACAAGCTGTCAGTCGGTTCAACGCACATAACCACGACAGAAACACACACAGAATCTCAATTATTACACAATATAGTTTAGAGAATTTCTGCAAAACACGTAAACAAACCTTAAACGACTCCTTTGTTGTGTCTGTCCCGTTTCTGTGACTCTGCTGCCTGCCGTGCTGGAAATATTGACGGAAGTAAACACACAGTGCGGAGCCTGGAATTGGTCCACGCCCCCTCGCTGCTCTCTGATTGGTCGAGCCCTCGGTATTTATCTTGTTGCTACCCAGAAGCGCGCCGCTGATTGGCTGCCCGCGGCTGTCAATCATGTTCTTCTATTTTTTTTTTATCCCTTCTGTTTTTGTTGGGGCTTTCTTATACACGTGACAGAGACTGCGCACATGTACTTGTGTTTTGATTTTGTGATGGAGGATGGGAACCACTGGGCAGCTGTGTGAGTGATGATGTGAACATTTATTAAAAAAAAAAAAATAGGTGTAATCAGAGGTTTTAAAGTGCTCTGTTATTTTATGTGCAGCATAGTTTGTGGTGATTTTAGAGGTCACTGTGCTGTTGTTATCAGGACGTCGTGCTCTGGTCGGCTTATAGTAGCATTGTGCAGCTTTACTGGGGGAATTAGGGTTAACTTGTTGCTGTTTAATTGTTTTTACCACTTGTTTTTACCAGTCTTTTGGGGATGTCTAAGTAAAGTCTAAAGCCTTTTAGAGTGAGTATTTATTTAAGTCACAGGTCCTTTAGAGTAAGTCAAGTCAAAGGTCTTCATATGTAAAATGCAAGTCATAATGTTGTTATTACAGGTGTCTGAATGTTAAAATGACTCATTTTAATAGTGTATTTTATAAAGCTGAGACCAAAGTATTCTTATTGCATAGGTATTGTTTTAAAATGAGATTATTGAACTTTTTGTGTAAAAACAACAGTATTCTGTGCATCTTTAATTATTTGTAGACATCTGACATCTTTACATTTTCAGGGTTAATGGCCATGTGAGGCCCAGGGGCAGATCTACAGGGCTGACTTAGAAGACACCTGGCCACCCGAGTTTGGTGTGAAATGATTCATCTTTAAAAGAACATGTTATAAACAGAAATTAATACATATGATGTAATGATGTGATATGGCCACATGTTAGACTGAGTGATAGGATGAAAAAAGATATATATTTGTGAAAAAGCCTTTAAGATCTGAAATAAAACAGTTTTAGTAAAATAAGCAAATAATGATACTCGTGACTGCAATTAAATCAGCATATATTGATACCCCCCCTTAAAATCTTCATGCCACCCTCCCACCCCGTGAATACTCCCTGGTACGGCCTGCCTAACAATTTCTTTTTTTATTATTATTAAATGGTTCCTGTGTTTTAACAGGTCAAAACTTCTGCTTTCAGGTCTCAAGTCGAGTCTTTAGGGATTCAAGTCTCAAGGAAGTTAAGACCACTTACAGTAAATAATATCATGTCTGCAGCTCTGGTATTTATTCGTGCCATTACATATTATGCTTTGTAGGTGAAACACTAATGGAAAACCTGTTGCTTTGTCTTCCCCAGAGTCTAAAAATAGCGTTACATATCAAGTATCCATCCAGACTGGTTTATGTGTGGTTATTGGTCCTCTGGGCATTGTTAGTATATGTGATCACAGTGAAGTCAGAGGTTTAGTACAGTCTGATAACATAAGAGTTCTTTAACACTGTAATTAGCTTGAATTTTGTTGATAGATACTGCCCCCTTTAGGCCTCATGCAGTAAGTCCAAACTACAAGCAGCAGTATAATGTACTCCAGATGTCTACTGGAGGCCTTATTGATATAAATATATACTATTTATTGAAACAATAGAGTTATATCTATACAGAACCCACACCCTACATTAAACCAAAACTTTACTTGATTAAAAAAAGGAAACATTTCGACCCTGTTGATTCACAATCAGGGTAAATCTGTTATCTTTCGCCTGGCCTCAATATAAGATTACATATGCAAATAACTTTGACAAAATGTATTTGTAAGTAAAATAACTAACAGCTTTATTTGTGTATAAGTTTCACAGAATTTACAGTAATTCAGTACAAAACAATGTTACACAGGCAGCAGCAAACCCAGATTGAACCTGGTTTTGGTAATAGTAGTTCATATTTCAGCATAGAGAACATTGCAACACTTTTATACAATACAAATCCTAAAAAAAAAATACGATACAACGTCTAACTTCCCGGCAACAAACAAGTGGAAAGAGCAAGACATGACTTGCTTTGATGTGAATTCTGGAGAAGCGGAAGGTGTGTTGACAGCAGCAGAGCGACGTGTATACTCGCATACACTGTACACAAATATTGTTTTGCTTCTGCATGAGAACGAAACAGAGTGAATGATGGAATTTGTTTAACACAGGGAGTTAACAATAGTCTGTCCTTTTTTTTCCCCCACTCGTGTTACAGCTTCTGAGCTTTGATCAGCACAGAAAGTTGGACAGAAAGAGAGAGAAAGTGGTGAATAGACAAAGCAGACAGGGATTTGGGAGGAAAGTGGAGATACAGTTACAACGGGTCACTGGATTTAAGCCTATCAGATTATTAGGTACATTCCTCTCACACAGGACTCACGGACCTACTGATTATTTGGTTGGAAAGTAACCACACAGTAACCACATCCTACAAGTTTCTAGTGTGGCTGCAGTTTTAAATGAAATGATTTTACCAGGTTTATTAAGAAAAACTTAACCGCAATAACAAGTAAAGAAGAAGATACTAACTGCGGTATGTGTGTGTGTGTGTGTGATCGTATGTACATCTTTTACATAGAGAAGTCAGGGAGTACACTCACTGGATTGTGAATTTAAGAGGCAGGTCACATAAATTATGATTTAAGGGCAATTTCATGCTTGTGGTGGTCTGAAGGTCCTGCTGTGGACCATCGTATGAGCTAAAAGCCTTTGTCTAGAATTTACTGGGACCACTTTCTATTCATAGTAACTTTTATAAATGTCAGTTGTAACTGTATTTTAATGGATAATATATAATTTACTAATATTTTATAGATAAAATTATAGATATTTTTATAGATTTTTTGGGTGGCCAGATTGTGAAAATTGCCTTTTAAGGATGGACACTTAACTTGCAGTGGATCTGGACCAAAATCAATTTATTAACAACTTATTATTAATGGACTAAGAACATTTGTTACTACAGTATTTGCAAAAAAAACCCAGCCAAAGGAAAAAGTTTCACAATCTGGCAACTAAAAATATGTTCGTATTCATGTTTTTTAACTGACTTTTAGAGCATGAATAAAGGATTTATTTACCATATGTAAATTCATAAATTCATTAGTTGATTATTACTGATGACTTATTAGAAAGTGGTACTGAGGTTTTTAAGCAAAAGTATAAAGTTGTTTTTTTTTTTTAAAGTACTATTAATTGAACTTAATGTGTTTGAAATTAGTTCTTCAGTTGAGGTTGTTTTGGTCAGTGGCTCATTTTTGATGAATATCACTGAAGCTAAAATTCGAATCTATTTACTCTTCTGGATTTGTGTGTCTTCAAATGCATATAGTTTTGACCTTTAACACAATATTTTCCAAATGAGTATCTGTGTGATAAATCTGTGTAGAATGCAAAGTTTGATAAAATTAAAACTAAGCACTAAGTAAGTACACATTTTCAAGACAGTCAACATCGTGTTTCTAAGTGTGTGGGGCTTTTCTGTGGCCTCAAACGTGACAGAGAACAGTTTCATGCAAGTTTGAACAGAAGCAAACATGCTTTTTCTCAGAAGTAAGATAAAGTATTCACAGAAACTAAAAGAAACATAGGAGAGTTTTTATGTTTGTTTTACATTTTTGGTTTAGTTTCAGTTAGTTTTAGTGTAGTTTTATTTTTAAATTAATTTCAGTGTTAGTTTTAGTTTTTTTGTTATAATATGGGGGTATTAAATAGTTTTTGACCAGATTTAAGGGACCAGATTTAAGAAGTTCAGAATAGGTATTACATTGACTCACAGTCATGTAGACATCCCAGTCTCAATAAACATATGAAACAGACAAACATCATGCTTGTTGTGTTGACGAATTTGAACAAATTGACAAAAACAAATTTCTTGTATACTTTTTAAAAATTTTCAGCCACTTCAGTTAGTAAGTATCATATCATTCTTGTTTTTATTTTCATTATTTCAGTTAATTCAAATGTTTTTTTAACACCTAGTTTTAGTCTTTAGTTTTAATTAATAATAATAACTTTGACACATAAACACACACACACAGTGTTTTGATGTATTTTCTGCAATAAAATGTGATAAATGGATAAAATGTATCATCAATGCAACAGTCTAAGTTAAGCATTTGGCCTCTGTAGAGTAAAAAAAAATGTGGCTCATCCAAGGTCTCTTAATTTTTGTCCAGTGTCTATGGCATTTTTGCAGCTGTACAGCCATTTGATAATCCTTGCATTGCGCTCAATAACTGACGTCCCCTGACGTATCTTTTCATGTAACTCGTCCTCCAGTAGCCCGTCGCTTTCACTGCTTCTCCTGGAGAAGCCATCGTCCGATGTCGAAATGCTGACACTCCGGAGGTTTATTGCAATCTCATCTGAGCGCGCCGAGAAGTTCTCCTTCCCCAAAGACTCAATGACCTCACCGCCCAGTCCGCAATACTTGAAAAAAGCATCAAAGTCTGTAAAGTTTTTGGAGTACCTGGAGCTGATGTCAGAGTGAGAACGACTGACCCCTTTGCCAGACCTTTCAAACTCAGGAACCGTCAAGAGACCAGCAGATTTATTAGCCACACCAGCTGTCACCTTTGTCCCAGGAGCAGTATCTCCTGCGTTGTGTTGTTCTGCTACTCCATTCCTCCTCCTCTCTGATTGAGCAGTAACTATACATGAGCTACATTCCTCTGCTGTTTCCTCAGGTGTGGTAATTTTTTCCTTACTGCCCTCAGACTCACACTCCTTATCTGCCGCCTCAGGTAACGGAATATTTTTTTGCACAGAGCTGAGCAGCAACTTACGTGTTATGTGGTGTTTCCGGTCATTTGCTGTCCCTCTCAGTAACTCGCATTTCTGTCTGTAAAGCAGGAGGGAGTCTGGTCGTTTTTTGGAGCTGGACCTACGCACCTGCCCTGGTGAGCAACTTTGTGCACCACATGTACGCTCTGTTGAGTTACTCCCTATGGCAAGATTCCCACCACGGTTCGAGCTCCGGTTAGAAGACCCGGTGCTGCTCACAGAGGCTGATCCAAGACTGATCACTGGCTCCTGAATTGAGTTGGCCACCTGTTGGCTTTTGACATATTTAGTTTTGCTTGCAGCGAGCCTTTCCACGGCGCTCATGCGTCCTTTCGCCTCACTCTCCAGTTCCATTTGTTTTCTAAGGTATTCAGGACCCTTCTCGAGGATTTTTGTGGTGTCACTAGTTGCCTCCATTGCGGTTTTAATGAAGATTCAAATCAGTTATTTCCAAAGAGTGAGTAATCCTTTAGTGTGCGCTCTCTCCAGTGTTAGAGGTAAAAGATTCCATTCATGCCCGTTCTTTGCCTGAGCACGTATTACAACAGGAGACTTCACCTTGTCTGTTCAAACACATTACCCCACCCATTCTACGCAAGGCTAGTTTTAACCAAACACAAGCTTGTTCAAAGTACACCTGATACTATCACAAGTGAGAACCGTGAAAGCTGACACTGCTGCAGATTTTTTTTTTCTCTCTTGTCCTGGTGGAAATGTGGGCCTTGTTGCTCAACACAGGACCAAAATCTTACATTATCCCCTACCAAGAAAACTGGTTTCTGTCTTTACAAAGTACTCTTCGCTATCTTTTTATCGACTCATTTACCAGACACTGACTCATCAAATAGGATTGGCACTCATTACAGTATGAATGTTGTGCAATAAATGTTTACCCGAGCCTATTCATCCTTAAATCATGCAGCATGTATGATGTCTCCCAGTGGGATTGCAGTTATTTGTCAAAGCCATCAAAAGAGTATTGTGCAAGTCTAAAGACGCAAAGAGGAAAGAAGTTTTATGGGTCATTACGTCAAGATTTTGGTTTAGTATTTTCTCTATCTTATTGGTTGAGTCCAAAAGTCCTATAAAACATGGAAGGTCAATTTAGGGTGATTACACATTCAACCCTTTGGCTTGTCAAAAAAACACAAGTACTAATTGCATCCTAAAAGTTACACTCATTAATTTGGATAATCCCAGTTTAAGGTTATGACCTAGCAATTCCCCAAAAGCAACAGCACAAGCAGTTATAAGTCAAAAACCATGATAGATACCAACATGCCCACATGCTTGTTAAAGTAACATAATAAATGGCAGAAAGTTAATGAATGTGTTTTTCTAATCATGATCAATCTACTGAAACCATAAAACAAAGAATTTTATTCAACAGCTCCAAGTCCTTTATTGGCGCTGCAATGCCTTGGTGGTCCGCACTACAGGACCATACTGGGGTTCTTTCATCCATGCATGTAAATAACCTGAATAAATACACAAATGTTCATTAAATAAATCAACATTGATAATGAATACATACAGGTTTAATCGTGTTTGTGTGTAAATATTGTAAACATAGTGGTGTTGTGAAGGAAAGCAGGAGCAGCTGATCAAACGGATATGCAACATGTGTATAATGAAAGAATCACGATTGATGATAATCAACCAAAATAAACTCTCTGCTCCACTTCACCGCTCTGCTCTGCACAGCCTTTTCACACACTCTCCACCAAGTGTTGCCTAATGAGTGGGTGATAACAGGCCGGATGAGGATTTTCCACTGCATAAACCTTTAATCCTCACTGGTGGTTCCTGTAGGCCAGTGGTTCTCAACCTTTGTGGGACCCCCATATCACCATCTGATAAGATCTATATTGTAGATTGGCAGATTAACAGTGAAGAGTGTGAAACCTATGGCCAGTTGTTGTGGAAATTCTTCCCAAAGAGGGTGCTAATTCTCTGAAGAACTGTCGAACGGTGTGGTAACAACGCCACTTTAATACATGCGGCCATGGGAGAAGCACACGTCATGAGTATTCTCCCAGAGCTATCAAATGCTCCCCTTGATATACTCTCAGTACAGTCATCAGGGTGAAACACCCTGATTGTTTTTGGTTCTAGAGGTTGCTATTTTAGTCAGGGTCCTTCCACCCGA